ATACAGTAGAATCATTACAATATATGCTGATATTTTATCAAAATTTTCATTTCTTTGTTTGAAACTGAATTACTTAAGAAATAAATACTTTTATATTTACCATTCTATGCTTGGAAGAACAGTAAAAACACTGTTGAATATTTGTGTAAAATTGTTTTACTGTTATCTAAAAGAGCTGCTCTATCAGATCGATACTGCCACTAATTTGCATATAGTCATCATTGTACATTGTATTTTAAGTGAGTTCATTATTTATTTGTCATCTACAAACCATCTTGAAGGTGAATATGCTTGTGCATGAGGAGAAAGAGATTATATACATCCACACCCTCATTGTTACACAAGTATCATATTCAATTATCTATAGATATCATTAGGCTCGATGAATCGTCTATTACTGATAATGACAATGTTTCTTTCCTTCCTCATTCATAAATAAGTCACATTTGTTTAATATTATTTACACTACGTAGTTGAATTTAATGATGAATTTTTTAAACGCTGTTCTTCATCATGATTTGCATAAACTTTTAAAACAAACAGATCAATGCGGCAAAGGTTTCCGTTCATATAAAATTTTTCTACTTATCAAGTTTATTTTTGTTTATATTGGGTCTCTTGCATCCGAAGGCAACTTCTTTTAGCCATGATCATTGTCGTGGTAAATGGCTTTTTCATGATTCGTTTGTTTTATTTTGAAAAACATTAATATTTATTAAATGTTATGCTAAGTGACTGGAAATATTTCAATGTAGTTGAAAAGAATATATAAGATTTAATTAGTTGATAGTTTAGATTTTTTATCACATTTTATTACTCGAAATTACGAAAATAATACAAAAAAAACGATAAAAAAATGAATTAGTCATAAATTCATTCTTAAATACTTCCATACATGTTTGCTTCGAACAACATGAAATTATCTCAGCAAACAGTGAGATAAATAATCTCGTTTGATAATGTGAAACCAGTCCATCATCATAGTGGTGATAACAATTCTAATCATCGATAAGACGGAGCGACGATTGTTTTACTAGTAACACATGTTTTACTAGTAACACATGAATTGATGATGGTAACGTGATCAAAGGGTCGTACACTCTTTCCTTTAATCCCTTAACATCGTCCATATTTTAAAATTTTTGATTTATGCATAATTCGTTTTTATATTTATCTTTGAATAAGAATTCAAAGAAAAAGTGACTGACACTTGCGTGCGCGACTTTATATATTTCAAATACACACATTTTTTTTCTCTTTTCTTGCGTAACAATACGTGGTAGAGTTGGAACCGGTCCGGCCGGACCAGACAAAACCGAATTTTTACCGGTTCATAAAATTAGAAAATTATATATGTATTTCAAATTGTTCTCTTACAAAACTAATCTTTATTTATTTTGTTTTGAAATATCATGTTAGGAATTGTTATAGGTATATGTTTTAGTTGAAAAAGAGCATGTGACAAAAATATTCGTATAAATTCATAATTTTGCCAGATTGACGTCAAAATTAGTCCGATCGGGCCGGACCGGATGGAAAAAATCCGTCCATTTCCAACTCTGATACGTGGCACGTGTAGGAAGAATCTTCCTTCTTTACGATGATGTAAAACAAAAGATAATGTAGAAAATAAAGAAGTAAAAGGCATAGAAACAATGTAGATGTCATGCTTTACACATGAATAAGAAAAGTTGTGACTTATTTAAATGTATAAGATGTATGAAATAGAACAGCCAATCAGTTTATTAGTCTTCATCGTTCTTCGGCTTCGTTCAATTACTCCGACTCGACTTATTTCAACTTATCAAGAGATTAAAAATGACAACAACAGATAACAAAATCTTAACATCAACTATTGAAACCTATCGTCATTATGCTGCTCAACCAACTCTGTCTGATATTGAATGTTGTAATCAAGATTCTAATGATGAAATCCTTCATTTAACACCTTATTTTTCAACAATAGATCTTGTTAAATTAGAACATTTAACTTATACTCGTTCATTTACTTATTCATTGAAAACTCGTCAACTTTTATTTACAAGTAATGTAACAACAATTAATGAAAATATTATTCGTCGTCTTGCTTCTCCTGATGGAAAATATCTTGCATTAGTAACAAAAGAAATGAAAGGTGAACAAGAATTACATTATGTACAAATATGGCATGATGAACATTTAATATTTGGTTATGAAGTTAGTGATAGTAAAATATCACCACATGGAAAAGTTCTACCTAAAAATGATTATGCAAGTTTTTTTGAATGGAGCCCTGATTCTCGTCGATTAATTTTTACCGCTGAAGAAAAACGTAAATCATTCAAATCTTATTTTACAGCTGAAAAACTGGGTGATCTTGGAGAATCTTTTAGTACATATCGAGAAAATTGGGGTGAAC